GACTCCCCAGCAGTACCAGGCCTCCCTAGGATTCCCGTGTCCCCCGCGATTGACCCAGGGCTCTGCTGAGGCTGAGGGAGAGCCCCACCTCCTAAGGGCATTAGGGATTCCCTGGGCTCCAACCCAGGGCCTTGCTGGGTTCCTCGGAGCGTTCCCATCCACCCCGCCGGGCTGCTGCAGGGCTTTGATCACTTCTACACGAAGGGTTTCCTGAATGCTTTCCTGAGGACATTGTTCCCCACTACAGAGTCATCAGGGTCAAATTCATCATGGGCTATGCTGGTCCAGGTCCCACCCAGTGGGGAAAGCCAGCCCTCTGCCCAAGCCCCACTTCCCCTGGGAAAATGAAGCCAGCGGTTTCTTTTGGTTTCGCTCATTACCAACCTCAGGGAAGACAAAGCTGTAAGCAACACAGGGCCGCCATCAGCTCGAGGCAGCCGGGCCCCTCAAAGCACACCCCCGGGGGCCCTGCTCCACAATCTTCCATAGAGGCTGGTCACCGCACCCAGCCCCCATGTCTGCTCCGTCCCAGAATCACACTCGGGGGGCCTCTTAGTTCACTCAACATTTATTGAAAATGACTCTGCCAGGCCTTCTGCGAGGTGCAGAGGTGAAGACGACAGGGCGCCTGCCCTCAAGGAACTCACAGTCTAGCAGGGGAGGGTACACACCCCTTACAGCGCCTTGTAATAAATGCCACAGGAGAATGACCACGGGGCTTGATGAGCAGGGAGGGAAGGACAGCTTCCACTTAGGAAAGCGTCTATGGGCCTACATGTACTAAATCTCACAGCGTCATGGAGTTCACCAAGTAGCCAAGGAGGCGGGACACACAGTGGACACAGAGGTGTCAGGGCTGGAGCAGGCGTTACACACTCAGGAAGTGGCAAAGGCTGGCTTCTGTCCCGGAGAGGACGGGAGGGAGGCTGGGGCAAGCTGGTGAAAGAAGAAGCGAGGCACGCCAGGGGCTCTGGTGAGAAGCCACAGGAGTCTTTAAGCAGTGACCTCGTCAGAGATGTCTTTTAGAAAGAAAATGCTGGCAGAAATAGGAAGGATTTCCAGGAAAAAATGACGAGATGCAGAGGAGAGTCACCGCAGGCTGGTGATGGAGCCCACGAGACGGGGAGGAGGGGGAGGGAGTCACAGACGACAAGGGAGAAACGGGGCAGAGGGGGAGGGCTCCACGCCAAACGCCATGCTGGGTGTCTTACAAACATTCCTTCAATCTTCCCGACTCTGTGAGGGAGGCAGAAGCAGCCCCACTTTACAGACGATGCTTGAAGAAGTGAAGTGACTTTCCTAGAACTAGACTACAAGGCTATCTGCAAACCCATCATTCGATTCGGGATGGCAATCCAGACTCTTCTTCATTCTTAAAGCTGATATCCCAAAGACTGCTCTTTGGCAAACGCTCTGGAAGACGGTGTACAGAAAAGGAATAAAAGAGCATTTATTTCGATTTCATTATTCAGACTGGCTGCCATCCCAGTGCGCTAAAAGTGAGGCTTTGCTGGACTATCACCTAGCACTCATGGTTTTCAAAGCTCCCTCAGGGCTGGTTTCTCCTTCCCTTTACACCATCAGCAAGGAACACACTCAGGTCCCCAGTTTGCAGGTGGAGAAGCCAAGGCCAGGAGAAATGAAAGGTCATGTCACCCAGTTTCCTTGTCCCCAAGTCCAAGGCTCTTTCTTCTACCTGTGCTCCTGACACATGACTCCTGGAGATTCTACAACCCCTTGCTCCCTACTTCCTGTCTCTGAGCCTGTCTACCGCACCAACAGAACTGCTACCTAGTGACACAGGTTTGGCTGGCTTGGTTCTTATGCCAGGCAGCCCTTTCTGTAAAGAATTCCTAAGAACCCCTCAACCACCAGGTCTGTCAGGGTCCCTGTTATCACTCTCCCAGCCAGGCCTGGTCCTGCCTCCAGATCCCCACTTCACCAGGATCACAAGAACGCATTTCACAAGGAAATGGAGGCTTTTCCTGCAGTAAGATGAAAGCGGCTAACATTACTGAGCATCTACCTACCAGTGGCCATAGACTCTGCTAAAAACTTACATATGTTACCTTAGCCTTGTTGCCAGCCAGCAAAAGTAGGTATTCTTATCCCCATTTTACAGATGAGGATAGTGAGATTCAGAAAGGCTAAGTGTTTTGCCCTAAGTCGTTCAGCTAGTTATGGAGGCAGCATTCATAACTCAAGCCTGTCGGAGTCTAGAATGCACTTTATTATTCTCTGCCACACTGCCCTGGCTCATCACTCTACAAGCACAGAGACAACCATGGCAAAGTGGGAAAGGAAAAGGGAGGCAAGACAGGAGCTTTTGCATGTTTGCTATACTGCTCCCAGGTGGCTCCAGGCAGGCTAAGCCCATGGTGTTTCCCTCGGCCAACAGTCGCTCCGGCCTGGGACCCTGGAAAGCCGACGAGAGTCAAAGGGCTCCCTGGCAGGCTTATCTTGGCAGCTGCCCAGCTGACTTGTGCTAACACAGCAACAGGCACAGGAAAGGCTCTAGAGGGAGTGGAAAAGCACCAGACACTGGGCCGCTGAGGGGAGAGAAGTGATTCCTGCCAAACTCAGACAGGATAACCCTGCTCTAAAGCCACTGCCATCACTGGGCCAGAAAAACACCGGGGGGGCGGGGTTGCAAGCAAAAAGCACTGAGCACCTCTCCTTACTAATAACGTGTTTCAGTGAATCATGATGATCAGGCCAGTCCAGAAGTCGAGTCACCTGCCTCCCAGGTGAATCAGCAAGCATGGAAGAAACCAGTGCCCTGGCTCATTCCAGCCACCTTGGCCTGCCTCTGCCCACAACCTTGGAAACCCTGCTGCTCGATGTCACCTGAGCAGAGGCAAGAAGGCACGCACTGTGCCAGACCTCAACCGCGGTGGCAGATCCCGGCCGGCCGTGGGAAAGAAAGAGCCAGCTGGGGATATTAATAGACCTGCTGGAGGCAGAGGTTCAGGAGGGTGAGCCCTAGGAAATGAAATTATTTTAAGAGGGGGCATAAAGTGAGGCTCCTGGAAGGGAGTGATGTGGGTTTCCAAAGACAGGGCTTTGGCAGCCAGGCCCTGGACGGCAGTGCATCAGCAGCAACAGGGCTATTCTGAATTATCTGCAAATCTAAAAATGTCTCAGTCTGTGGGAAAACTTTTTTGGTGTGGTTTCTGTAGGTTTTCTATCCTCTAAGGATCTGCTTAGACTGATATTAGATATTAGACTTCTAATGTCTATTAGACTGGTTTCAGGAGAAACTAATCCTGGGCTTTAATAATTGCCACAAGTTGTTATACTGCTTTAAAAAAAAAATGTATACCTCGCACATTTCACTGAAAGGAAAGGGGGAGTTTGAGAAGTCACAAATTGGCAGCCACTGGAAGATATTAAATGCATGGGTATGTTAGCAGGCTTTGAATTCTTTTTAAAAAATCAAATGTCAACATTTAAAATTCAAGTTTCAAAAAAAAAAACGTATAATATTCTAAGTTTCTAGCATCTTTTAGGGAAAAAAAAAAACCCTGAAAAATTTGGCATCACAAATTGGAAGCCGCTGCATAGCCACTGCCCCCTGTAGGCAGGCTGGTCCCTGTAGCTCCTGGCCTGCTCACTTAAGCCCCCAGACTGACCCCTGTGGGCATGCGCCTTTGTGGCTCCTCTGCTGCTCCTGTTAAGCCCACGGAAGGGCAGCCAGGCATGGTCATGCTCAGGACCGCCGCTCAGGACCGCCACAGGGCGGCAGCACTGGTCTGTCACTGAGGTCGGCCCGCTCACCAGCAGCTAACCAAGCTGAACCCGGCACACCCTTTCAGCACCACTAGACATCTTATCCTTACCTCAGTGGCAGCAACTCGTCCCCACACTCCCCATCAGATTTGTTCCGTAAAAGCAAGGGCGGATCATCTCAGCATTCCCACTTGCCTCAGGGACGGAGGAGGGCCACTAACAACATGCTCTCTCCTTGGGCGCCATCCACACCTTCCGAGCTCCGCCCACCCCACCTCCACGCACCTGTAATACCCTCAGGCCTCAGATCCTGAGAAGAGAAGCAGGACACGTACCCCCCCCCCCACCTCCTCTGAAAGACAGTTCATTCTTCATCATATGCTCCTTACTTGCTTTTGCCCTTTTAGGTTAAATGTCAGTCAACTTCATGAGACAATAGGTTCTTAGGCCCCTTCCTGCCCTCTGCTCTCACTGCCCTTCCAACAGTACTAGTGACATCTTAAGTGGCAGCATTTAGTATTAAACCCCTGCAGACGTTTAGGAAAGACCTTTGGTATTATGCATCAAGGCCCTTAAAACTGCACATCCCATTTCACCCAAAATGCCATCTGCAGTTCCTGCCGTTGACTCCAAAATGCAGCAAAAGCCTTATACAAGATATTCATTGCAATATTTACACTAGCAAACCACCAGATACAATCCAAATGTCCAGGAACTGGGAAATTGTTGAAAACTGGGTTTTTCCCTCTTCATGAGCAATTGTGAAGCTATTAAAAACAACCAGGGTTATGAAGACCATGTGATAAGATAGAAAAATGATTATGATATGAGACATTATGTAAAGAAAGAATATAAAATTAAGTGGACAGTCATGATAAGAATCTTAAAAAACTATGCCAAGAATTAGTGCAAGGTAACAAAATGCTACCTTTGTAGTTGCCCTGGGCATGGAGCTGACCCTTTTTAAATCTCAACCAAATGTTCTTTTATATATATTACTTGTAGAGGGAAAAATGTAGCTCTGTGAATAATTGGGAAATTTGATAGCAATTCTTAAGCTCCCTGGTCTACACTGATTTGCACTTTGAAAGGTCCTATAAGCCTCTTCCCATCATGGTAAAAAGGCTCCTGGGACCCTGCAGCTCCAGGACTCACTGCCTGGGCCCTGGAGCCCCGGAGGTAAAGGCCAGTGTTAGCCGTCCCTGAAGTGCCTGCACCTGCCTAACCCCTAAGGAGACCCCAACACCACCTGCAAGATAGGATTCCATCAATATGGTTCTCAGACGCCACTTTAATCAAGTTTTGTACCATACAGTGATGGGGGGCGGGGGGCGGGGACGGGTGAAAAATCGTGACTATTTCCAAGCAAATTCACCTGTCCCACGGCAAACAGTCTGGGCTTCCAAGAACAGAGAAAGGCTTTCCTCCCCAGGGAGTCACTTTCCTGAGCTGATAGGACAGGATTTCAGGAAGAAGGAGCACAGGAAGAGGGCAGACAGTGAAGGGAGCCGGGTGGCACTGTGAATCCTTCCCAGCGCACACTGGAACTAAGCCTGCAGGCATCCCTCCTAAGGCAGCCCCACGCCCAGCCCCTCACTTCTCCCAGCAGCGTGCCCAGGAGCGCAGGAGCCCCACCGCACCATACAGTGGCTGCGGCCTTCAGGCCAGAACCCCCAAGGGCCTTCCTCTTCACTGGCCCCCGGGCTGTCGGTGTCTGCCTAGCAACACAGCAGCAGCGAGTACGTGCATGGCTGGGTGATGCGGCAGGGGCCAGAAGAAGCAACAAAACAAATCACATGTGGGTTCCCGGCCGCATAGACACAGTGGCAGGGCCAGCGATGGCCCGCAGAAAGACCCATGGGGCTGTGTCCTCCATCAGTTCTTCTCCGGGCGGTTTCTGTTCAGGACAGCTTTAGGGGCAAATTCCAGCTTGTCCTTAAGGCTCACCACCTGGGTGTGGTCCTGGCCTAGCAGCTCATCCAGCTTGCGATCCTCCCGGCGCTCGGAGATGCTCTTCTCCTCCTCCGCGGGCTGGGGGTCCTTTCCTCGGATGAACCATTCCAGGTGGTAACCCACGGCCCCGACCACAAAGGCCACAGGAAATGTGACATAGGGAGCATAGTTGCGCACCACGGTCCAAAGCACGGGCCACATGACATCTACAGAAGAGCACAAGGCCTCGTTAGGGAGAAGCTGGCACCCCTCTCCCCTGGACACTGACGACCCAATGGGCCAGGGCCCTCATTTCCCGGGCAGCCTGGCACAATTTACTGGCCATCCATCCCACGCAGAGTAATGCAAGAAGATACCTTGCTTTAGGCACCAGTTCAGACCCTGAAACAATCTAGGCAGTTTTGAAAGACGCGATTGTTAGGGAAGATGGTAAGAACCTCTATTTAACGCACTATGCTCTTTGACAACGACACAACCATGCATGGCAGCGTTCCGCACAGGGAGCCTCTGAGCTTACCTACCAAAGACTCAAGTCTGTTACTGACCCTAGGCCCAGCCTCCACAGTTTGCTGACATTACAGGAATGGAAAAGAACCTTCCTCTGCTCTATGCAGTCTCTCTGTGAATACAGCCGGCCATACATTTCCTAGCATGTGTAGTCCCACTGTGAGTCTCCGGGCTCCAAGATAATGAGCAGTAGTTTCTTTGCCTCACAAAAATAATAAGGAGCATATTTAAGCAGCCAAAACCGTGATCCGTTACTCAACCGTTCTGGATTTTAGATAATGATTTTTTTTCCTATTCTGACCTTGATGTTTCTAACAGTGAGACTTACTTATACTTTACAAAATTGCTGGCCAAATCTCTTTCAAAACAGATTCTCTTCAGGGTGCCTGGGAGGCTCAGTTTGTTAAGCATCCAACTCTTGATTTTGGCTCAGGTCATGATCTCACTGTAATGAAGATGGGGCCCCACGTCAGGCTCCTTGCTGAGTGTGGATCCTGTTTGGGATTCTCTCCTTCTTTCTCTCTCTACCCCTCCATCCCCTCTCAAAAACAGATAGATAAGTAAATAAGTATGTAAATAAATAAATAAATACATACACACATTCTCTTCAACCAAACCTATACATTTTGCATAATAAACTCCTAAAAATATCACCAACACTGAAAAATGAGGGCTTGGATTTTTCTGTAAAAAACAAAACAAAACAAAACACTGTACAAGCCCATGGCAGAAATGAAAAGTGGAATGGCTCTGGAGCATCCTGAAAGGAAGTAAGACAACACCGAAAAATACAGAAACACACAAATTGGTTCACTCGAATGGCCATTTAGTGTGATTATTATTACCATTAACAATTATCCAAGACTGTTCCTATTATAGCAATGATGATAGCTACCACTTATTGAGCATTTACACACCAGTCCTTGGGCTAAGTAGTTTATATACAGTATTCCCTTTAATCCTCATGTCCGCTCTAAGAGGTAGATGGCATTATCAGAGGGTTAACTAACTAACTTGCCCCAAAGTCTCAACTAAAAAAGGTTATTCCATTTGCAACTTTACAGCTGGTTCTCCAACTTGGCTATCTCTGGTCTAAAGTGTACAATGGAAACCTCACCAAGGATAAAATGATTCTCCCTCTCTCTCTCTCTCTCTCTTTGGTTCCAATTCTCTTTGGAGAAAGCCCAGCATTCTGTGGACCCAAGACCATAATGGACCATCATCAAGGAAAAAAACTGCAGCAGCCCTAAGGTTCCCCTCTGGGTCCTTCGTCTTAGCACCAGGCCCTATGCTGGACAAGTCACACACTAGTCATCACCTGATCTTTACAACACCCTCTATGAGGTAGGAATTATTAGCCCAGATTTATGGCTAAGGCCACAGTGGCTCAGGGACATTATGTTAACTTGTCCAGGGTCACTAGAAGTGACAAAGCCACTGCTTTTGAATCCTGGCCTCTCCAAACCTCTACACTTGTGCTCTTTCTAGTGGTAAGAACCCACTGCAGACAGGTACATCGTCTCTGTCCAAGTCCTAGAACTGGGGAGAGCTTCCTGCAATTTCTTCCCATCAACTTGGCATGTCACTATCTGGAAGAGCTTCCCTGTTGGGCAAGCTCTAAGATTACTCAGATTTGTGAAATCGTAAGACTTAAAAGTTGTTGAAAGAAACACCCCTGAAGAACCTCAAAGCTACTACTTCGTTTTCTTTCCTACCTTTTATGCAAATTCTCTATAAGTAAACACTTACCCTAAACAGCAATTCTCCATTCGGATCCCCCATTTGTCAGCAAAAATACCAAGCAGGAGTCCACAGTTCACATCATTTCCCACATGCAGTAAAGGTCTCTCTCTGTTGTCCCTCCCGCATTCTAATTATTCCCCAATTAGTCAACTCATTCATTTAGTCAACATTTAGAACCACTTTCTCTGTGGCAGACTTGTGCTGGCGTCCTATCCCCATCTCTCTACATTTCTCAAAACACTTAAGCTGCAAGAGGGCAAGGACCATGTCTGTGCGGCCCCCACTGAGTCCTATCCTCTCCCACCCGTCCCCCTCTGCCTGGTATAAAGTGCCCCCAAACAGTTTGTTGCGTGAATGAATGACAGCTCAGACAACGCACCAGTGTAAAAAAACAGCAGTCACTCACCCCCTCGCCCTAAAAAGGCGGCAGGAATACAGCAGGCTACTTTGCCGATTGCAAGAAGCTAAATACTCTCCAACAAGTCATCCCCGGGATATCAAAATGAAAGCAGCAAATCCTGGAATATATTGTTTCCGGCCCGGCACAGAGGGAGCCTGAGTGTCCGGTAAAGGTCAAGTGGGTTCCAGGGAAGCCTGTCCTTATGCCGGCGCCCCGGAGGCCCAATGAGACCCGAAGCCGCAGTTCCGAGATTTGAGAGCTGTTAGCAAGGGTAGACGAGACCTGACAAGGTGGATGGACTGACCCTAACCGTCACTGAGACCAGCCCGGGGATGGGAGCGCAACAGGGGTCGGCGTCCAAGGATTTGCCCTTCTGCCTCCTCTGGGCTCCCGGCCCTGCCCGTTATCCCACCACGCTCGTGGCCTCGTCGGCGTCCGTTCTCACCCACATGCCGGAGGCCGAGAAGCCCTGGCCGCAGAGGGTCCGCTGGGAGCCCAGACTCAGCTTCCGAGCCCTGGGAAGAGAGGAGCTGTCAGGCGGGGGCGGGAGCGGACACTCGCGATCACCCTTCCCTGACTCGGAGGTCACTGCTTGAAGCCGTCCCCCCGGCAACGGGCTGTCCCGGCGGCGGCTTTAGGGGAGGGAACCTCCCTCCGGGACCGCGTGCTCACCTGAGCCACAGCTCGCACTGCACCGTCCGGCTCCCGCCCTCCGCCGGCTCACGAGTCTGGAGCAACGACGCCGCCAGTCCCAGGGGCCCGCGGGCCCTCGCCCCGGGGTCCCGCCCCCCGGCGCCTGCTCTCTCGGAGCGCGGCGATTGGCTGAGCTCCAGCCAAAGGACTGGAGGAAGCTAGGCGTCCTCAGCAGGCCCCGCGGCACAGAGATGGGTACTGCGCCCCCTCGTGGCCTGGAGGCTTCCCAGTGACGTTAGCACGTGCTTTTCGCGGGGAGAAAGTGGAAGGTCATCCATTCTTTATTCAACTGATTTTTATTAGGCGTCTTCTAAGACCTAGATCTGGACACACAAAAATAACATATTCCTTGAATTCAAGATCTTCCTATCAGAATATAGTCTGGAACTCTAAGAACTCATCAGATCTGGGCTAGCTTTCTAGCCATGTGACCTTGGGAACATTATTAATCGGCCTGAGTCTCCTTTGCATCTTATGCATAAAGGTAATAACACCTATTTCACAGAAAGTTGTGAGGGTTTGATGAGATAATGCATGTAAAGTGCTGTGACAGGCACAGAGCAACAGGGAAATAAATGGTACTATAGTTAGTATACAAAAAAATTGAAATGTAGTAAAACCTAAGTCTTACCTGACCCCTCAGATACAAATATTCACTCCCCCTGTATCCACTATGCCCTCTACAGATATCTATTTTATCATGTACAGTTGACCTTTGAACCACAGGTGTTTGAAACTGTGTGGGTCCACTTATACACGGATATTTTGCAATAAATACAATACAGTACCATAAATGCATTTTTTTCTTCCTTATGGTTTTCTTAATAACATTTTTCTCCAGCTTATTTTATTATTGGAAGACAGTACATAATATATATAATATACAAGATATGTGTTAATCAACTGTTTATGTTATCGGTAAAGCTTCTGGTCAACAGTAGGCTATTAGTAGTATAGTTTTGGGCGAATCAAAAGTTACACATGGATTTTCGACTGCTCAGGAGATGGGTACCCCTAAAGCCCTCATTGTTCATGGGTCAACTATGTAGAGAAAAACACCAAAGCTCAAGTTCCATAATCCCCCCACTCGCCCTTCCCTCTCGCCTCTGTTCCATGAGTCTCAGCCAAGCATATTTATCTTTAGGACACAGGCTAAACTCATATTCTCTCATGCAGACCAAACAGTTTCTCACTTCTGTGCCTTCTTTTATTATGTTTTTTCATCTACCTGGAGTGCCCCTCCCACCTTTCTTTACCAAAGTAGCTCTAGCTCATTTTTCCAGCTTCAGGGACACCTCTATATAGGAAGCCTCCTAGACTGCTTAGATCATTACATTAGATGTCCTTCCTCCACGATCTCAAAGAGGTCAGTGCTGGGGCACCTGAGTGGTTCAGTCAGTAGAGCATCCGACTCTTGATTTCAGCTCAGGTCATAATCTCATGGCTCATGAGATGGGGCCCCATGTCAGGCTCTGCGCTGACAGCCCAGAGCTTGCTTGGGATTCTCCCTCTCCCTCTCTCTCTCTGCCTCTTCCATCCTCTCTGTCAAAATAAATAAATAAGCTTAAAAAAAAAAAGTCAGTGCTAAGCTCTGGCAGTGAAGATAGAAAGGAAGAGTATAAAGAATATGTAAATATGTAAGAAATCATTATTAGCAGAACTCGTTCCCCAAATGAATGTGTACAAAGGAGAAGGGAACAGAATGGCCCAGAATAATTAGCAATCGGTCGGCCAATCAACATATTCTAGGCAACGGGGATGCCAAAGTGACTGGGACCACCCCCGCCCCCCAGAGCTCTCTGACAGATTGCCCTGCCCAGAAAGCAGAGGGGTCTACAAACTGTCAAGGGAATTACAACAGAAGCATGCACGAGTAGCCCAGAGGAGGAGCCCAGGAAGAATCAGGGAATGCTCACCAGAGGAACCTACCCTTGAGATGAGTCTTAAGTGATGGCTAGTAGTTCCGTTAAGCAGAACGGAGTGGCGCTCTAGAGCACAGACTTTGGACTCAAATGAGGGTTCAAATTTTGGCCCTGGTGCCTGCTAATCTCAGAAAAGCTGTTTACATTCTTTGTTTAAACAAAGGCAATAAGTTCCCATCTCGTAGGGTGGTTCTGAGTATTATATCACCTGATGTGTACAAAATGCTCGGCACAGTGCTCGGCACCTCCTGAGTGCTCTGTAAATGGTCACTGGTATGTTAAGTATTGCCCAAATTGATTCCTCCTTCTGTAATATCCTGTGTCCACCTAATGCTTTACTTATTCACTAAGCCAAAAACCTAACTGACACCTTCAAAATCTCTTCCTCTTTGCATTATTCCCCAAACCCAGCTTATGCCTTTTGAATGTCTCTGAAGTTCTTCATTGTCTTTTACCTGGACCACCTTAGCAACTCCCTCAATGGTCTTCCCGCTTTCTGTTGTTCCCCCCAGTCCATTTCCATGCTTCGCCAAAGGGTCTTTCAAAACCTTAAATAAAACCTTGAAAGCTCCAGCTAAACCTCTCTCTTCCCAAAGGTCCCTTCTGGCCACATCTCCTCCACACCCCTATCTGAGCCTTTCACCTGCCACCAGTTTCTGCTCTTCCCATGATCCCACCCACACATACCCTACCATTCGTTTGCCCAAGCTGGTCCCTTTGCCTGAAATGAATGTTCCTCCCTCTCTTCCTCTGCTGCAAAATTCTCACTCATCCTGCAAGACGCAGTTCAAAAGGTCCCTATTGCAGCAAGCTTTCCTAGAATCAACTGGCTGCTAGAAGCTCTCTCCTCTGGCCTCCTCAGCCCCTCTGGGAAAGGTCTCCCTTTGTACACACCTATCTGTTTATACGCCTGGCTATGGCCAAACTGGGAGCAATTTAAGCAAAGGGACTGGATCTGATCCTTCAGTTGGTCATGGAGCCCAGCACAACTCCCCAGGGCTCAGCATCCAGGAACTCCCTGCCATATCAGCCCCACGGGGGGGGGGGGGGGGGGGTTGTAGACGTCCTGTCTGTAGCAAGATGCCCACTACATTTGTTCAGGGCTGTCCTGCTCCTCTATGCCATATACCATATACCTCATGGTCCTGGGAAACCTGGCCCAGTTTCTGGGAAAAGACATAGACCCATAAAGAGCTGTGTAGTACAGAAGGTAAAACTCAGACGAAGCCACTTCTCAGCTTTGCGATTTGGGGAAGTTGTTTAAATTCTGAAAGCCTCGGCTTTCTCAGCTGTAAATGATGGTAACAATATCCGCTTCATAGGATTGCTCCGAATATCATCTAGTTCAAACCCAATTTTAGAGATGAGAAAACTCAATCTCAGAGAAGTAAAGTGACCCAGCCAAAGGCTCGCTTGGCAAGTCCAGGGGAAATAGACAAATGGGCATTTCTAGTTGAAACTTTTGGACAGTCATCCAACCTAAATGTTCTCAAACCTGGCTGCCCATCAGAATCACCTGGCACACTTGTTAAAGACTCATTTGGGGGCAGAGAGTCTATTCACAGTCTTGGACAGGGCCCAGGAATCTGTTTGGGATCAGCTCCAAGCTGACTCACTTTGGGGAATTTGGATCACATGGGGCTCCTCTCCACCTTCCAGTGAGTGGCCTCATCTAGGTGTATGTGTGTATGACCTCATGCTTTTCAGGGGGGTCTCCCACACCAGCCTGGAAAATAGCTGCTCAGGCCACTCTCCTGTTCAAAATCCTTGTGTGGCTCCCGCGGCTCTCAGGACCGAGGCCCACCCTCCTCAAGTTAACCCAAGAGTCCAGCAGTCAAGTCTCTGCACTCCCAATGCTTTTTCTCTTCCTGGCCTTTGCACAGCTGTTGTCCAATCTTGGAACATTCTTCCCAGCCCTGGCCCTGCTCCAGTGGCTCTTTCCAGCACTCACCCTTATTCTGTAACTGCTTGTTTACTTGTCTGTTTTTCCCCAAAGACCATTAGTGCCCTAACAGTAGCAACTACACTTGTTCAGGGCTATGTCCCAGGTGCTGGCCAGTGCCAGCAGTGGTTCTTGATAAATACCTGCTAAATAAATGCATGAGAACTGGCTAGTCCAATGTGGCCCAGAAAGGCAGTCAGAGACTTGAATGGCTCTTCTTCCTGCCTCAGGGTGATACATCAACCCCAAGGACCAGAAGGGATTGCCAGACAGAGTGGGGGCTGCCATCAAACCCTTTCTGGGCTGGGAAAGCTATAGAGCTAAAAGCTCATGGCTTGGCATTAGTCAGACCTGGGTCCACCACTCTGAGCCCTGCCTGTAACTTTGGACAGGTCACTGAACTTCTTTGGAGCTTCAGCTCTCTGACTTGTCGTAAGGATGAGCTCCATTCATGTAAAGCGCTCTCCCCCTGCCTGACCCAGAGCAAACACCCCATAAACATTAGCCATCACTGCCAGGTCCGGGTTGCTACTTAGCTTCCTAGGAAAGTTCTGTTGTCTCCCTCTGCCCCCCACCAAAGTGCCCACCCAGAGGAGGCATCAGAAAAATGTGACGACACTAAATTGAAGTGTTTCTGCTGCCAATCAGTAGTGAGTGGAGCAGAGGGAACACTGGACCCTTAGGGGAAGGGAAACCAGTAACTGTCCATGTCTAAGAATAACAGCACACCCTGTTGGTTGAGCCCAGGCCCACAGGTGAGCCAGGCGTTGGGCTCTGGGCTGCCCTGTTGGTGGAGTGAACCCTGGGAGCACTGGGAGGCAGAGAAACGGACTGACCTAGGAGTGAGGAGGAAACCCTCCCCTCTTCACCGTCCGGGCCCCTCCAGCAGGGCTCAGATCCTTCGGCGCCACCAGGGGGCTGAATCCCCTCTGCCCCAGTCGGCTCAGGCTACCGGGCTCTCCCTAGATCAAAAGAGCGGCTCCCGGCCTCCCCTCCCTCCACCTCCCTCCCGACCACCCCCGGCTCCCATGCGTGGGGCAGAGGTGGCTCCTTCTGGAGAGAGCAGCCGGCTCGAGTGCAG